TTTGAAAGTGCAATAACCCGCTGAAATAATCGGAGCATGTATTTTGTATGAATATGAGACTATTTGGGTACATAGAATACCTGCCTAGACTGTAGACATTGTATGTGCTTACTATTAATTTTAACTGCCTGACTTAGATTAAGGCGTTATAATTCTATGCTGCCTGACTATTCTGACTGCCTTGTTGGCCGAGTGGTCGAAAGTGAGACTGCCAAGGGGTCTCGGGGCCGATTCCTGAGTCGAGCAAAGTTATACTAGGTTTGACTGACTATGTATGTATGTACTGACTACTGTATCTTACGAATTGACATAGGTATTATGGTATAGAAAATTGACGAGGGGAACTCGTTGAACAGCTGTTCAAATAACTTTGCGTGTGTCACGGTGTGTCGCAACCTGCAACGAAATGACTACTCGATTATTTTTCCGTTTTAAGATCTTTCTTTGATATTCATTAGGGAATGGCTACGGCGACTTGGTTCAAAAAATAAATGTTCAATCTACAAACAATTATTCATAATATTGACAATATGGTATCTAATATTATCTTAAATTTTTTATGACTATCTCTCCACAGTACAAATGAAGGACTATACAACAAAGCAGATTGTTTTGGAAACATTAGCTAGTCATTGTTTGTAAACTTGTACAGGAACGATATCACTGTTATGCAGTCGGCTACAGCAGGCTCGAAGGTTGCTAAATAAATGTACTTAAGAAATGTGCTGCTTATTAGTCACAGGCCATAACTTACAAGGAACTGAATCAGTGGACTCCGCGAACGCCGATTCAACTGTGTGGTATTGACTCATCGTCGTAGTACGCATGTGCGACAGTGAGTCACAGCATGGACAAGCCACCAAGCACCGGAACAGATTAAGCGCAGTTTAATAAACTTTGTCTAAACAAGTGGCGTGTAATGCCAGAGGTTAAGACGTCGTGATCTCCACATTACCATTACTTTGTTACTTGCTTACTAACTACAAAACTTTCATCGAATCTTTACAATTTAAAAATAATCAGAAAGTTTTCTTAGCATTATTCTCACGTTTTTTGCTTAGCTTAGATCAGTATTGCCAATAAACTGCAACTGATGTTTCTTTTTACACATAATTAATTATTGCACCGCAGAGCAGACATCTAGAGTAGAATGAGAATTGAGACCACAAAAAGGTAGAACACGAAGTGTAGTTAGACGAATTTGCAAGGCAAATTATTCAATCCTTTCACAACTTCACTAAAGCAATAATCCGTCGGAAACGCGTCTAAATGGGCCTTTGTGTTGGGGCAAGTAACGACACAATAAATAGTTAACCGACAACCCTTGTCTGTGGTGCGTCAGTGCACAGATAATGTGCAGCTACACAGCTAGCTATAGACAGTAGAATGACTCCAGTGAATGAGTCATTGTCGTGATATTCGAGTCTCCGTGCGTTCCTCCCGACCCTCGACACATTACCATTATATTGATAAAACAACACTCCTACATCGAGTAGACACTCGATACTTTCTGCCTTAATACTACTTACAAGGGTCTCTCTTAACTCTGAACTATGTATTCAGTGAGGTACCTACCTTATTTACTCACAATTTACAGTAGTTACAGTAACGGATAGTTTTACAGAAGCATGGATGGACAAAGACTGACGATGACAGTTTTTTTTTTCAATTCGCAATTTCGTGCCATTTTTCTAAAGAATAAAGAAATATTGAGGTTATAGTTATAGCTAAATGTGCCATAAAATAATGTTGATGTACCTATTACATTATGCACAATCTCTAGCAACAAAGCTTAAGTGTACACCTGCAAAACCAGAGACATCACAAATGCGTCGCCGACCGTTTTCTGATCGATCAGTGATGTAACCAAAATATTTTGTTGCGTGCGTACGAGCAATGTATGACACATGTTTCAATAGTTTACCGTCCCTGCTATAATCCACAGACATCAATTCTAAAAATTCTATTAGATAAACTATTGTTCCCCCATATCTAGAGGAAATAATATATATAACATCATCATCTCATTGATTGTAAAAAAACACACATTACTGGAATAGCCAACAATGGGGGCGAACCTTCGACCTCCAACGTCACACTTCACTAGTCATCAAGGTCACTAAGACACTATTTAATTCACTTTTCACTATTACTTTCTTTAACACATAAAGTACCAACCAATACATGGATAGGTTTTCGTAAAATAAAATACCGTAGATAACTGGACTTTATCATTTTTTAATCTTTTTAGCAATCAATCAATAAGGTGAGGTCATTGAACTTGTGTTAAAGATTGTTGTAAACTTAGATTTTTGTCTCGAAATTCAAATAAAATTCCGCGGTTATTCTAATGACAGTCAACTTTTTTTAAATGAGTTGTTTATTAAGATTCTTTATAGCGTATAATGCCAACTACAACTTTTCAAAAAGTTGTAATGAAATTCATACAAGTAATAAAATACTAATGACTAATTAATACCTAGTTTTTAACTCAGTCTTCTTCTACGCTAAATAAAAATTAAAACAATGAATATCTAGGTATGTAATTGTTACTCAAATACAAAACTGAAATATCATACCTAGGAAGATACCTACTTACTTAGTTTATGTTGTACGCATATCTACAGCTGCCTGTCTGCCTCCCTTCCTACCTACCGAACAGACCATCCACCCACGATAGGTTTAGGGTGTTAGATGATACCTAAGTTCTTACATAACATAGGTAGATACGTACGTACCTATTAGGTACCTACCCTAAGTTCAATCAATGAAGTTTAACGAGATAGGTATCGGCTTAATTTTTGAATAAACTTTTATTCGAATCAATGTTAGGTAGGTACTTGTAGGAACTTTTTATTTGGTCTGAGATTGTAGGTAATTTTTAATAAATCTTAGGCTTAGGTACTTACTTACAATTACTTAAAAAATATAGATAAAATTAGTTGGATATACCTATTTGTTTATTTATCAACATGATCCTAAGTTATTTGATTTTTATTTATTAAACCATGGCCATTGTAAATTAACCCAAAACTTCAAAAAGGTATGCGTCAGAATTTCATATTAAACGACTAATTTAAATATTACTTTAACATTCTGTGATTTTATCATTATATGCAACCTTCTTAACTTAGCTAAGTTATTTGCCCGTTTGCCGCCTTGCAGACAAACGATATTGAATGGAATCGCTTCGCTACTAGGCACAAACACAAGTATAAAAGTTTTGTTGTGTTGGTGTGAGACATGTACAACACAACGACCGTTGCCACCGTTCACCAATCAGAGCTCAGGATTGTACCCATTCCCATATATGGTAAGGCCATCGGTTGCGGCAAGCGGGGAACTTGGGCAAGTCCATTTTTGTGGAAAAAAATAATTACATTCCTTTTTCGAATAGTAACAATTGCTTGACATATGTCAATTGGGCCTGTCAACGTGAGCATTTTGTAGGTCATTTTAATAGTTATCGCGGTGTAATTACTAGGAAAAAATTGTATTATTTGGCACCAACTGAGGTCCGTTGGGCGAGTCGATTAAATCGCGGGGCGCCGGCGTACGGCGTATTCTAGTGAAGCAGATCGACCGACCTCTACGAGCGAGCGAGCAACAGAAAGAAACCGGCCGGCATTCATTTCTCACGGTTCGCGAACGCTGCGGTTATTGTCTCTTCTAAGTGAATATTACTGGTAAGTAAACGATCATTATTTTAATATTTATTACGTGTTTAATGTTTTTATACTGGGCACCGAGAAGTACGTCAAAATACGGAAAATATCCGGATTGTCTCATTTAGAAGTAGATTTGTATTAGCTTCCCGGTTTATTAATGTGGCAGGAGTAGGTAGGTAGCTATTTAACTTATGACACCTATTCCCACAAAATCACAGTAAAAAAATACATGTGTCAGCTTGATAAGGGAATGTGCACTACTGTCTATGGCAGATAAGCGCCACTTGCTGTGCTGAATGCGCTGCCGTTTCTCATCTGCAGGTATTCAGTGGAGTTCGAACAGCTGTCTTATTGGAAGTGTGCCAATAAGTGTTGAACTTTCATTATCATGTATTTCGTATATACGCGCTGACTATATACAGTACGTTACTGTCTGAAGCGACCGTCTGATCGCCAAGTGTTCAATGTGAGCACCCGTTTGAGATGTCGACGTTATCAAGAGGCGCGCTATCAGCGGCGGGGGTGCGTGAGGGGTCCGGGCGGCGCGCGCAGGCTCCCTGCCGCGGAATACCATATATGGCCACGAAAACTCAACGTATTGTGCCGTACTGTGCGATTGGTTGAGAAGTCGCTGCGGCGGGGTAGGGGCGCCCCGTAAACCAGCCTCATTTATATACTCTGCCTGCCGCGTCCGCAGACATTCCACGAAGTGAGCTCGAGCAGTGGCGTTGTGCAGCATTTACCGAGGCTGTGCAATAGCGAGTTAATTTATTTATTTATTAGGACTATTTAATTAAAAGTAAGTTGATACAGATGTGTTATAATTTTTTTGTGATGTTTAGTGATAATAGTGGCGTGAGGAAATAGTGAAATCCCATTAGTGTGTGCGGGTCAGTGACACGTCGCTGGGGTTGGGTCGCGTCACGCCGGCCGGGAGTCTGGGATAGCCGGTTGCGGTAGGGCGTGGCCCAGTTCTAACTGACACTTAGCAATTTTTTTAAATCTGAACGGTCATCAGTCTTATTAGAAAGTAACTCATCTTATGAACGACTTTCTCGATCGTTAAGAGCAGAGAGCCCGCCTTAGTGAAATGTGGTCACGCCGCGTCATGTGCCACGTTTTTCCTTGTACAGCCTCTCCATACCTACATGATATCTGACCTTATTTGGTTTCAATTTGCGACTTCGACGCCCACTTAGCATTGTCCCGCAATGGTTGCGTGTGGGTCTTCTACCCACTGATTACTTAAATGGATATGAGCAGGATCATGAGCTACCGTAATAAAAAAATGTAAGTAGTATTTTTTATCTGAAGTTTAACAATTTTTTTTGTCAATTTCAGACTAATTCAAAATGTGCGACGAGGAAGTTGCTGCGTTGGTAGTAGACAATGGCTCCGGTATGTGCAAGGCCGGATTCGCGGGCGATGACGCGCCTCGCGCCGTGTTCCCCTCGATCGTGGGCAGGCCACGCCACCAGGGTGTCATGGTCGGCATGGGACAGAAGGACTCGTACGTAGGTGACGAGGCCCAGAGCAAGAGAGGTATCCTCACCCTCAAGTACCCCATCGAGCACGGCATCGTCACCAACTGGGACGATATGGAGAAGATCTGGCACCACACCTTCTACAACGAGCTGCGTGTGGCGCCCGAGGAACACCCCGTGCTGCTCACGGAGGCGCCCCTCAACCCCAAGGCCAACAGGTAGGTGTCTCTCGTCCAGTGCGCCAGCACTTGTATACATCTGTATTCTGCATATAGGGCCAACTGACCGTGCCGTTTGTTTCGCAGAGAGAAGATGACACAGATCATGTTCGAGACCTTCAACACGCCCGCCATGTACGTCGCCATCCAGGCCGTGCTGTCGCTGTACGCGTCCGGTCGTACCACCGGTATCGTGCTGGACTCCGGTGACGGTGTCTCCCACACGGTGCCCATCTACGAGGGCTACGCCCTGCCCCACGCCATCCTGCGTCTGGACTTGGCCGGTCGCGACCTCACAGACTACCTGATGAAGATCCTCACCGAGCGTGGCTACTCCTTCACCACCACCGCCGAGCGAGAAATCGTGCGTGACATCAAGGAGAAGCTCTGCTACGTCGCGCTCGACTTCGAGCAGGAGATGGCCACCGCTGCCTCCAGCAGCTCCCTGGAGAAGTCCTATGAACTTCCCGACGGACAAGTCATCACCATCGGTAACGAACGATTCCGTTGCCCTGAGGCTCTCTTCCAGCCCTCATTCTTGGGTATGGAAGCTTGCGGCATCCATGAGACCACTTACAACTCCATCATGAAGTGCGACGTCGACATCCGTAAGGACTTGTACGCCAACACAGTCCTGTCCGGAGGTACCACCATGTACCCTGGTATTGCTGACCGTATGCAGAAGGAAATCACTGCTCTGGCTCCATCCACAATGAAGATCAAGATCATCGCGCCCCCAGAGAGGAAGTACTCCGTATGGATCGGTGGATCGATCCTCGCCTCCCTCTCGACCTTCCAGCAGATGTGGATCTCGAAACAGGAGTACGACGAGTCTGGCCCCTCTATTGTGCACAGGAAGTGCTTCTAAGCGATCCGCGACACGCTGCCTACAGCAGCCCGCGGCCCGGCCGGTCCCGCGGCCGGCTGCTCAATTCAGGCTTGTAATCTCCGTTAATTTAATTGTACGTAAGATATTATTGTAATTAAATCGTAATAGTGACGGCAGGACGGAGCGCGGCGCCGCGGGCGCGCCTCGACCGCCGGCCTCGGTACTGCACTCGCCAAAGGATCTTTTTGTAATCTCATGAATGATGATTGTATGTGCTGAAACGGATAAGACTACTTTCTTACTAGGTCATTTATAAATTATAAAAAATGATGAAAATACAAAAAAAATCTGAAAAATTTATCTGTCTTTTCTTTACCCACATCCTACCTAACCCGTTAGTACAATTTGTACATCATCTATGACGTACATAGAAACAAAATACAAAGCAAACCAATGCATTGGTTCGCTATGTTATCTGAGAGCAACGGCCGACATTGACCTATGTTCGAAAATAGACCGAACGAACGAACTTTGAGAAAGGTCCAGAAATAGCCGTCTGTAGTGTTTACTCGCACAGTAGGGAAGCCTTGTCGAAACAAAGTTACGTATGCAATCGAATTGATAAGATACCAAAAAGTAAATGCCCATTAGATTTGTTTGTAGATGGTGATCAACTGGTCAATAAAACGTCGACCCATCAAATATATGAAAAAAGATAAGTCTCACTGTAATATTAGTAGGTAGTACCTTCTGTCGCGCAGTCAAAATAGATGGCCAGGGTAGGTACCTAGGTACTATTTTTACCAGTACCTACCTGTTTTTTATTTCCAATTCTAATGGCCTCTCTTCTACAGAACGAATTCCAACGCAAGATTACAAGCAAAATGTAACTACCTACCTACTTCATTATAATTTGCTATGAAATCAAGGTCGTCATTGCTATAAAGTATAAATGTAGGTAGCTTTCGCCAAACTTTCTGAAGCCACCGAGATGAGCCTTGATGCGATCACATCTGATCATCACCTATAAATCAAAACATGTAAGTGTTAGAAACCTGATTTTCATACATTTTTATTCGATTATATTCGATTGTAAAAGTTAAGTGGTACCTACCTATAAAGGAAAAAATAGAATCTCCTTCCTTTTTTACTAAAGTCTGTTACAAAAACGGACTAAATAAGTTAAAAAATGAATAATTCGAGAATTTGGCTTGAGCAGCAGAGGTATCACGAATGCGATACGGACATGTTAGAAGGTGAAATAATTCTTTTAAAATATATAGGTTTTAAAACCTTCGCGTAAGTGTAACAAACACTTCTTCAAAATACATACATATGTACATACATCTATATGTACATACTTCAAAATAAGGAGGTTCTCAGTTTAGTTAAAAAAGTTATTGAGCCCTTGTTATCGTTTTAAACTAAACATTTTCTAATGAAATATTTGAAATGGCACAGTGTGACCTGAAAGCAGTGCCGGATTTATGTTATTTTTTCCGGGGGGATATAATCCAATAACTTCTCTCGCCTGGCAAGAGGGAGTGTCACTCTTACTGACTAAAAACCACCCCGTTCGGTTGTCGGAGCCCCGACAACCCGTTAGGCCTTCCGCGGTACAAAATAGATGAGAGTCGCACTGCTCTCATCTATCACTCACTAGGTTTCGATAGGAATGAGTTTCTATAGGGATTAATCTTATACTTACATACTTATCTTATACTTATTATATAAAGCGGAAGAGTTTGATTTTTGTTTGTTTGTTTGAACGCGCTAATCTCCGTAACTAGAAGTCTGATTTGAATAATTCTTTTTGTGTTGGTTAGCGCATTTATCGAGGATGTATATGGCTATAAAACATCACGCTAGTCGTAGCGCAATTATCGCGTATTGGTCGCAATAGGAGCTGAGCAGAGCGTGTGAAACCGCGCGGAAGTAGGTAGTTTGAAGTATAAAAACCATGATAAAACTATTGAACGTGTTTCGATTTTTATCATCTCAAATCGAGTGACTGTCCTCTAAAATCTGCCGCCCCTAGGCCGCAGCCTATTTATAAATTCAGCACTGCCCGAAAGGGTATATCGATTATATATCTACAAGCCTTGGATCATAATCAGGGCTCCCAATCTGTAACCCTTCATATAGGAAGGGCCATACTGTCTGATAAGATAATGCTTGTCATTGACCCATGACTAAATTACCGCCCGAAGTGAACTCATTACGATAACTGATTGGTTATTCTAAGTCGTAATTTAATGATAATACATAGTATGCCACAGCAACTTAAATAGGTAGATAATTAGTCCAAGTGCAGGGCACGTAAGTTAATAAACGTACAAAATGACTCATAGATATTTTTACGATGAGTGACGTCATACATGTCATGATATGTGTTTTCGTCAAGGTATTCTTATATTATTCAAAGTGTATTTTTTAAATGTATTTTTATCACTCAAAATGAAGTCATTGGTTACATATTTCCATTCTCATTGAATCATTTTGACGGAGAAATTAACTTGCTTCAAAAAAAATAAGAAATCATTAAATAAAATTGCAATTTATCATACGACTTTTTATTTCGAACATCACAAATATTCCACATAATTAGCAGTATCGGTTAGTTAAAAACAGTAAAAATTAACAAGATAAAACTGTCAAAATTTATAAAAAAACATCGGGCATGGGTTCGGCGCTAAGAAGTGTAAGTTTATTGTCATAATATATTAATCAAACTATAACATTTGTACAGACACTACATATATTTTTATTTATTCCGAAACACCATTGTACTCAGTTCTACAGTATTAAGTTGACTTATAAATTATGCATAATATTATTCTCTTGAAGAAAAGAAAGGAAACACGATGCGTCGAAAAATATAACTCCGATTAATTGACATGATTTATCTTTTAAGATTAAACTCTGAGACAATTCAACATTCATTTATGTTTACGATTTCACTTTATTTTTTTCTGTAAAGAGATAAACACATAATAGCCACGTATATATTTTATCCCATGATAAGCTTTCGATTTCAAACGATACAAGATAATACGTAAACACCAACAAATCACTGATAAGAAATACTATAAATATTTTTGGTACAACATTTGCTTGCCAATTTAATTAAAATTATCACTGGAAAAGTATTATTTGTTAGTGGTAACTTTAAACTACATAAACCTACTTGAACATAAAAACTTCGAAGTCTGAGGGTACTACATACATAGTCTTATTTTCAAAGTTTTCATTCGACATGATAACGAGCTAAAGGAGAGAGATAAGAGGTGAATTTTGGCCCTATTATTACAAAATCTATTAAAGAAACAATTATATTAATCTGTCAAACACCAAGCGGTCACCGGTGACCGCGACCTATTGTTCTTCAATTGTGTCTATAAAACCGGTACTCGACGAGTTAAATTATACCTAAGTTCTCAAACGGTAGGCAAAAAGTGTACCTATCATAGGTACACGTAATTATCAGTCGTTAAACCAGTCCCTTAAAGGAGGGATCAGGATTAAAACAAACAAAAAAAAAAATCCAATGATTCTTCACAGTTAATATAAAAATTGTAACAGTAACAATTTGAAAGGTTTAAGTGAGACAAAACTATGACTTAATAACGGCATTTTACCGTTCTAGAGTTAACACAAACCCGACGTGGGTGGTAACTCGTAATAATAGGACCATAGGACAAGCAGTGCTTAAATATTTACAAACTATATTATCTTCTAGTAAGATTCTCAAAATTGCAGGGATGTTACGCTCTTATAGTAGCTACATTAGATTTTGAGACAAACCATTAAACACTTAACAATATATTGGCATAGAATTTATTATAATCTAACGGGACTAGCTCCTTCATTAAGCCTAGTTACTCAATAAAATAGTGTGGATTTAGAAACGAAATACGACAGCTGTTATACAAGTATTTAATACTAGTAGCTACCTGATTTATAAACAAGAAAAACCATGATTATGATTCGATTAGTAAATTAAATTAATGCCTCTTTGCGTATTATGTAAATTCATGACATAAAGTTAAATTTATTTTGGACTTCATCAAAATTCATATCGCGTTTCTAAACCAACAGTACATACACATAATTATAAACTAATTAATATTAATATTATGAAATAAAACCTTAATAGAATAAAAACTTAAAATTCATTAAAAATCTAAGTATAAATACAGTTAAAAAGTACTCAGAACAACTAAGCGTATTGCGGACATTGTGCGGTATCGGAGATTTCATGAACGGTTACTTCACTGGTTGCAAGCACACAAGTTCATAGTCTTACAGTCACACAGTTTTTGTACTATCAATATTAAGATTTATAATATAAGGCCACTTTACACTACACTCAATATGCCTAGGAATGATTTCTATCCTCATTACTGAACACAATTGATTGGACGAGTTTTCCAGTTTCCACTGTTCACTGTTCACAATGTTCAATTCCGTGACATCTCAATTCCTTAAGAAATAGTTTAAGTGTATGCTACGTCTCACTGTCCTTTATACTATCTTCCGTGGCCCTGCGGATGTCCGACAGAGGGTTGCCATGGACTCTGAACCTGTACACGCAGGTGTACGTAGGGTTGCCATGGTTACTCTCGACTCTCAGCTCGATAATGTCGTAAGCGACCGGGTACTCCACGCCGCCGATGTTGGTCGTCTTCGGGTATTTGACTGGGAAGTACTGTATGGCCGTGCCATTGGCGTTGTACTGATAGTCGCCGAACAAATGCGGGTCGGGGTCCATCTCGCCGTGCAGACCCTGCAAGCATATTTTTAATGGTACATCGAATAAAATGTGAAAGAAAAAAGACAATCAAAGAAAGTACAAAGAGTAAGAAAAGTTGGGTACAAACTTTTGTGCAGAATATGGGCTGTTGGGCTTTAGTGCAATCCGACCACACAAGGGAATGCGGGATATGAGCGGGAACACGTTAACAAAATCAGATAAAAAGCAGAAACAGAAAGTGTGGCTTGGGCGGACTGCTACGCAATATGTCGCGGGTTAAATTTTTGTGTGATGCACAACCCGTTGTTTCGGGTTTGGGTGCGATTTGTGTTTTAAAGTTTGTTAACACACCCACCCACGACACAGGAGAAAATCTTAGTGTATGGTCAAATTTTTTTTTAGCAAAAGAGGAGAAATATAACAATTGTAAATCTGGTTTAGTAGAAATAAATATAAAACTACGTACATAGACTGAGAAGTTCTTCGGTGCAGACTCGATCTTGCCTTCAACTGCCAACAGCCGAGACATGTGCTCCAACGAGAATCCTGTCACTTCGATAATAGCGTATGTGCGCACCACTGAAATAAATGAACAGAAATTAATATAAGCAAAGCACATAAAATATGTATATACAAATTTTACCTAGACTCAAGGGCGTCAAATACAAAATGTATTGTTCTTAATACAAAATAGAAAGTCATTAAAGAAAGTTTTAAGGTCATATTACGCTTTACAGACACTGCTACAACCCAGTAATTAACTTGTCATTTAAATATGTATGAACATAACATCTTAATATTATGTTAATATGAAATATGTCATATGACACGTTGGCCGAGTGGTCGCCAGTGCGACGGGTTCGATTCCCGGGTCGGGCAAAGTATTACTGGGTTTTTTTATAAATTCTCAGTAGTAGCACGGAGTCTGGAATTGTGCCCGGTATATGGCAATAGACTCACCCCCTATTACATGGGACTCATAACATATATAAATAGTGAAAAGTGGGTGTTACATTGTACAGTGTCATGTGCACGTAATGTGCGCATGTGTGCGTGGGCGTAATGTGCACCTCTGCCTACCCCTTCAGGGATAAAAGGCGTGATGTTATCTTATATTTTATAACGTCAATATAAAAAAGCTGTTTCATTTAGGTACAAGTCTGTAAGGAACTGTATATTAGGTAAGACAATATACCCTAGTCAGGACAGGGACATAATATTGTTATCATCATCAGCCATATTGCTATACATGCTTTATTGTAAACCCTAGCTTTTTTATGATAAAATCTAGCAAACAACTTTGGGTTGTTTGAATCAACCTAACAAATATAAGAGTTAAAATATCAGTGTATCAACTCACCCAGGTACCCCGGGAAGCCCTGGAAGGCCCAGCATTCGGCGGGCATGGCTCCAGGAGTGAGGGCATACCGCGGGGATGTGTACACCCACCACACTGGTAGACCTAAGATGCTGTACTGCTTTGTCTTGATCTGGTAAAGCTCTGTACACTTTGTTGAGACCACTTGACCACCTGAAATGGGATAGTAGTTATTATTTTTGTTGAAAGGTAGTAAATTGGTTTTGAGTCTGCTTTAATGTCAGTTTAATAGTGACAGATGATAGTTGATTTCTTGCAATGATTCAAAATATTGCAGAATTAATTTTATGAACTAGTTTTCAGATTAATTTATTATAAATCCAGCATTTATATTTAATTCCGTTAGCAAAATATATGAAGTACTGTACCTGCAGACTCCAACGCGTAGTCGACCAAGCCGTTTTGTCGCGTCATACACGTCCAGCATGCCGGCGACAATTCGCTTCACAGCCTCGATATCTATACCGGTGTGGACAGTCTGCACTTCTAGTTCTTTTACATATTCCTTCATCCTCTCCACGATAACTTCCATCTGTTGCCTCTCGAACACCGCCAGGTACTCCTGCACCATCTGACGGATCCTATCCTCGTCCATATCTGGCTTCCACGTACTAATCAACCGCTCATGAATCTCCTGACTCATAGCCTGCATCTGTTCCTTACTTACATAGTCCTTGTCGAAATATTCTTTCAGTTTCGCAGCCAACACACCCGCATTGTCATTCTCGTTGAAAACTTGGATCAAATTCTGTTGCAAATATTTCAGTGAGTACTGTTCTATTTGAGCCTCGAGGTTGTCAAGTCTCGATAGTTTTTGGTCAAAGTATTTGAGGCGAGTGTCGACGTTCACTGCCCAGTCTTCTAAAGCAGCCACGCGTTTACTTAAGTCTGGGTCTTGTATGATCTGCGGAGGTTTGTACGTGTCAGCAACCAACTGCTCTGCGGGGTGCGTTTGTTCACTGTAGTTGTAATCTGAAAAAGATGGCTAACATTAGCTCCATTATGTACTTCCCTCTGTCCTTCCCACATAAGCTTTAAAAAATAAACACAAAATAGAGAGCGGCAGGGAAGGACAGAGTATTATAATTAATTAATATTACAGGTATTGTAACTCACCCAAAAAGTGTAGCGTCCACGAGTACGTCCACTTTCTTATAGGTGATTTGGCCTCTATCCTTCCCCGACTTTATAGTATTTAAGACAAAACAGGGAAGAAATTATTAAATGGGGGTAAATAACAAGTCAATAAGATTGCTTACGAACCATATAATTAAATCAAAATGAACCAATTAGTAGAACACAATTTTATCGAAAGTTACCATCGAAATGCAATTGAATTTTGCTTATAAACTAGATTCATATAAATTAGAACATCACATCAAAGTAAAGCGAATAAAGCAGGTTGTTTGTGACAAATAAATAGATTGTGCTAACAATAATACAATACTTGTGGAGTATTGTTTGTGGTGGGGACATTAAGCACAGGTACTATGTATTGAAAAATAAATCCCTGTTTTTAAAGTTTTTCTTTTTACTTAAATAATTACATTAATAACATAAAGCAGAATGTGCTAAATATTGATTTCTCTATAAACATTTGACAAATATAAAATTAAAATAGCACAAACATTTCAAATAGAAACTAATTTGTATAGTGGCCTAAAACAAAACATATAATTTCTCACAGAACACAGAAATTTCTTTTTTAAGGCATACATTAGTTGCACAATTTTGGCTGCCCTTCTGGGCACAACATTATACATCAAAATCAATTTTCAACTTTAGCGACACATTTAAAACCTTTACACAAATCACAAAACAAAATTAAATAAAAAATTCTATGACTAGGGTGTTAGTCTTTTTAATTTTATCAATTTGGGAATAATTAGCACATTTTTGTTAATACAGTAATTTGTACCAAACAATTGAATTATCTTATAAACTAAATAAAACTCCAATATATGGCCACGTCATGAATTTAGGTACATTGGTACTTGTATACTGTGTACAGTATACTTTTTAAATAAATAAAAAATAATGCTGAATGTCGTACAATGAAGGATTAAATCCAAAGACTTATATATTTTGTTAGTTTGGCAGTTTCATTTTTTTGTGTATATTTTTATTTTTCTTAATGCCATTTTATAAGAGAAACGCACTTTGCATTAAACATAAAGAAAATATTTGCTCTATTTAATTAAAATCTTTGGTTGAACCAAAATCATTGCAAATAATATGCCTGCTACATTTTGGAGCACTGTGTAAAATTACGTATGTCGGAAAAGGTAGTAAAATAAAATACACAGGTAAAATAGACATTTCAAAATATGGATTTAACGCGTCGTTGTACGATTTCGATTAATTCCTATTAGAACACAATACATAATTATATATCTAAATATAATTTTAGTCGTTACCGACTATTAAAAATTCCAGTTTTATTCATTTTCAAAAAAGAATTAATAAAATATTTAAAAAATAAATAGAGATTTATAAAATACGCTCTGTATTGCGGAATGAAAATAAGTAATTATTATATTACTCCACTTTATACATAGACATTATGTAGCATAGATATAATTTACAATTAAATTAAATTAATAAATCACATATAAAACCCAATTTAATGTAAGCATGTGCACACACGGTTAATTAAACGTAATTTTGTGATGAAATTCAAATAAATAAATGTAATATGAGAGAATTAGAAATACAAAGTATATATATCAAAAATCAATTCAATATTTAACATTAATTTAAAATAATTTTCTTGCATTATGTATGCACATCCTTAAAAGACATTTATACCTACAATTACTAATACTTATTCTTATTTCCAATCACTATATCTACTTCCGAATCAAAACAGATATTTTAATGAGGGCACATTGTACCCTTATTATCCCCTTAAAGATATAACGCCTATTAATAGATAGTCGATACAAGTATAAATGAAAGATACAAAAATTGAGCGCCCTATATATCGAAGTTATAGATAGGTGAATTAAGTACAATACTTAATTATGTGTTTTGTCATGACTTGTGTTTATTTGACCGTCGATTGTGTATAATGAGATCAGAACAGACATTTCACATAGCATCAAGATGTAGAAAGAACTACTTAAAGAAACATTCGAAAATAATTTGCTTTGCTGACATGGCGCCATAATGGTTGCTGTTACATTAAAATGTTTTTAATATAAAAACAATATATTAAACATATATTGTTTAGTTGCAAAATGTTTTACTAGTACTTTATAGAATTTGACTTGATATTATATGATTTTTATTCAATCGGCAGTCAAAAATGAAGTGTAATTGTGGAATTGTAACAGCTATGTATAAAGAACTTATATTGAACAGTACCATAAGATTAATGATAAAAGGCTAAGAATGAGAAATACAGTTAGTGATTACTATTGGCGCACATTGAGGCTGTTTCCAACAGTAACTGTAAGACATAGACTGGATGATTCACTAGAATGAACGATACACAATTTTCTACTGGTATACAGATATGGATTACAGGTCATCAAAGTTTAACCTTTCAAGGACCTGTTTTACTTTCGGAATAACATAGTTTAAGAGACAAATAGACCCAATTAACAGTGCTGTATAGAATACAAGTTCGATAAAGTTTCGGAAGTAGCTAAGTACGGCCAAAATCTCGCGTCATCCGAATAAACCGCGCCACGTTTTCTTGATCTCCTCGAAGCAGCTGTCCGCAACCACGACGACGTAGTCGGACACATCAGCCATTCGATTCTGCACGATGTCTCTGTACTCTATATACGTTTTCTTAACTTCTGGAAGATTCTCTCTAATATCAGGTAGCGTTATATTAATTTCTGGCATCTTAATCTTCGGCAGCACGTCGAGACTCGGCAGTGAAATGTTTGGCAGTGAAAATTCCGGCATTTTTATACCGGAGAACTCGGATAGGTCTACGCGGAAATCGGTAAAGTTTGGCATAGCGAGACGTTCCCAGTTCTCGTATGTGTAGTGAGCTGCAAGGAATTATTATGTTTACCTAGTGATTCACGGTGATCTAGTTACTAGTGTGTTTTCAGGTATAACATGATAAATTAATTCTTACCATTCGTTGAGATAAATACAGAAAAAAATATCTAGCTAAAAACTTGACGTTTCAGTACAATTAGGTAAGTTACTAATTTATTGTTACAAAATAAGAAATTTGTTATCACTTATTCTTTAAATGTATAATTGCTGTATTATTATAACACAACACACAATATTTTAAAGTTCCAAGAATGTTACAGCGCAAAACACCTAACGATTTTAAGGCCCGTATTAATAAACCGATATCAGCGTAAGATCGAGATGTTAAGACCCTGTTTGATATTCCGACGTATTAATAAACAAAACCTAATATGCGGTTTAAGACCTTGTCATCACCTGAGATCGTATTGTTTAATAAACAGTACTCGGGTTTTAATATCGGTATTAGGATGGTTATCAAGACCACGATTGTTGAGTTCAGTCGACCCTGGACTTAATATCGTGAACTCATACCCAAGTATTACGCGGGAACCATGAATTTTGAGAATATTATTTCCGAAATCAATTATTATGATGAAGTCGACTACTACGATGATATTTTATGGCCTTTTCAAAATCGATTACCTAAGGTTTATATAAGGGACGCGACAAATCCCTTCGAATTACCTACGCAAAACTTTAAAAAACGGTTTCGATTTAACCAAGAATCAGTGCTGTATATCGTATCGTTGATAAGAAATAATTTGGTAAAAAGTGATAACAGAGGGCTGCCAGTTGCACCAGAAATTGCAGTCTTGCTTACGTTGAGGTTTTACGCTACAGCATCCTTTCAGGTAAATTATTTTGATCAATTGAATTGTAAACATAGAAAAGTTAATTTTGTTGTGTGTTAAACGATTTATTTAATTGACAAAAACTTTCAGCTTGTGTGCGGGGATCTCATTTATTTATCTCAGCCTACAGTATCAAACGTCGTTACAAAAAAGTATCACGACTGCTAGCATTACTCCATAAAACCTATATTAAAATACCTACCGGAGATCAAGCTAGCTTGAATAGGCAATTATTTAAGGACTTGGGAAGACATGGGCGTTGGCCAGGGCTACCAGGTATAGATGGAGCCATTGATTGCACCCATATAAGAATCGTCAAACCCCAGGTTGTCAGCACCATGAAGTTTATCGCAATGAAAATCTTATTTCTCCATTAATGTTCAAGTAAGTGTATAAACATGATCAGTTTTTACAGCTTCTATTGCATATCTATGCAGTGATGATGACTATTGTAATTTTCTTTTTCAGCTGTTGTCGGCCCACAAACAGAATTTTTGGACATAGTAGCTAGATGGGCTGGCAGCACCCATGATTCCAGAATTTTCAAATGTCTAGGGTTTACATGAAGTATATTCAAGGTGTGCTAAATGGTAAACTAGTAGGTGATAGTGGTTATCCAACATTGCCATTTATGCTTACACCATTAGGCCACCTCCTGAAGATCCCCCTCAAGTACGATATAACCGGGCACAAATAAAAACTAGAAACATTGTTGAAAGAACATTTGGCATTTGGAAACGTCGGTTTCCATGTTTATCAAAAGGACTTGGTAACAAGTTACAAACTGTGTCGCATATTATAGTAGCATGTGCAGTGTTACATAATTTATCACTGATGTTAAATGATGACATGGCATTGGTATTGATTCCCATTCTGATCAGGAGGATGGTGCAAACGAAACTACTGTAATGGCTAGTACAAGCGCAGGGTTTGTTGTCAGAAATGCTTTAATAGAAAATTATTACCATTAAATATCAAATTTTTAAATATTTTTATTGCATTTAGTCATGTTTTTATTAAGTGATTTTTTAATTCCTGCCCATAGTTAAGTTAATTATTTTAGTTTTTATTGAGGTAATGTTATATAATTCGTTATAGCACTCATTAAATTTTATTTTGTAAATTCATTTATTAAAGTGTAATTAATGTTTTAAATTTGACTAATAACTTTGAGTTTATAGAGATAAATGAAACATTAAATTGTTAACTTATCACATCATTTATTAAAACTTTAATTGTATATACTTGTAATCAATTGCTTGTGTTATGACCTGTAACAAAACAAAAAACATTAAAAAATACTGACAAGATGTAAACAAAGAAAAAACACCATTTTTATCCAACTTACCTATTGAATTTAGCTTTTCCTTTAAAATAAGGTCAGCTAAGTCTGCTTAGATTTGGCTTCCCTAAGCTTTCTCTTAAAATAAGTTCAGTTAAATCTGCTTTGGATTTGGCTTCCCTCAGCTGTTCGCTTAAAATCTCTATTTCCAAATTATGTTTTTCTGTGGCCCGCACAGATCGATCATTGTATTCCTGTTCTATCACATTTTTTTTTAGTAGGACTGTTCGGGTGTTAGTAGAACGCGCAGGTGACTTCCTTACTGATGGGATGGTTGTGATGGAGGGTTGGGACATTTGGGATGTGGAAGGATTTGGTGACTCAGGCTGTACAATGTGATCTATTTTGATTGTTTGTTCCTGAGAGATGGCAGACCCTTGAGATATATCTTCTAATTGTATATCTTCTATTTCAATTGAAATTGGTAGCTCTGACTGCGAAGAATCTAAAAATAATATTCAATTAATTATAGTCAGTGTTTAACAATACGATAAATAAAAGATTATTGGCATTAAAATTATACACACCTTCAACTACATCGGAATCAATTACATTGTCGATTCCAACAATAAGAGCTGGGGCCACCATAGACACATCAGGGTCAACGACAGCATCGTTGATAGATGGCCCTCCTCCAGTAGCTAGCCTATGTTGGCGTTCTTTGGTCAAAGCCTGTCTTTGACGCTGCTTTGTGTTGATCCATAAGCGCCGTAGTTGTTTAACTGATACCTAAAATAAAAAACCACAAGCATACTTATTGATAAATTAAAAAGTACACCTATGCCTTTCGAGGTATAAATGGTGTGGTCTTATGATATGATAAATATACATAAATAAGTTAAGCATGTAATTAATGCATATGATATGTATGTAATTATATGTTAGCCATTTACCTGTTTGTAGCGAGAGGACTAGCATTATATTCGGCCGTAACACGTATCCAAGCGTCATTTTTGTTTTTTAGTGTAGCTCCGTCTGTATCTTTATTTCTATAATATGACTATACTTTTTAAGTACATCTAGAAAGTGTTTTTTTTTCAATCGCGCTAAATATGTGTTTTTTTGACTCCATTATCGATTATAATGTATTGTAACTTCTAAATAAACACGAAACACTGATGTGATTGTATTGTACAAATTGAGAGAAAGAGAATCACAGCACAGATTATAATAATGAGGTGACGCGCAATCACTGGTATGTGCGTTTATCATAAGACTAAACGTAACTTTATAATAAATTTTGCTTTTTTATTAAAAAAAAAATCATAATGAATACAATATAAAAAAGTAATATAATTTCCTAAAATTTCAATCCATTTAAACTGGAAAAAAACTTTTATTCCTATGCATACAGAGTTGAATATTATCGTTCTAAAAAGCTATTACTAAACGCAATGAACGAAAGATGTATTAGTTCGTTCGCTGTGACGTAACAAGTCTTAACATCAGGATTTCATCGAGTGTCAAATTACGAATCTTGATATCTCGATCCAAACCGCGGTATCACCTGAGATCGTGTGGATATAGGTTTATTAATTAGCGTCGACATTAAGATCCTGATCGCATCTTGAGAACGTATCAACTGATGCCGGTCTTGACATCGTGATTGAGACTTATTTATTAATACGGGCCTAAGACAAAGAAATTACAGTATACATCACAATTTAAATGACTTCCTACACTGAAAACCTTATCGTTTGGCAAATTCGGTTTCTTAGAATTATTCAGTTCTTTACTTATTTTACAGTGTACAATGAATGAGGACATTCTTCCAAAAACGTAACATATACATATGCACGACGTCATTTTTCTTAACACAAAGTTAACCATTCAACAACACTAGAGAATAATAATTTCTTAAATAAAATGTTAAAGTTTTTTGAAGTACATCCATCTTTTTAGACGTTTCAAAACTGCCTGTACATGAATAAATTAAAGGAAATGGTTTGAGGGCTTAATACGAGTTTGTTTTGAGTCGGCTCTCTGATTGGCCTCCAATGACCACCCAATCAGAGGGTTAAACGCGGTAACGTTGTGATCTTATTAAACGTAAAACAAACTTGTACTCAGCCCTTTGAATTTGTAAACATGGTACTTACATCCATAGCCGAAGGCAGGCAGTAGTAGTAGCAGTAGCCAAGGCCACCAGCGTTTCTTTACAGCAGCTTTCTCCTGGTAGCTTTGTGCTATGTACTTCTTATTCACCTCGACGTGGTTTGGTGATAGCTGTGGAATATCGAATTTAAATTATTGATTTGTAATTATGAAGACGAGAGAAGGTAATATTGGTTTGGTCCAAAATACTGGTAAATAATGAATTGATTTTATTTTTAGGAAAGACAAATCACCGCGACTTCAATGTAGGTTTGGAAATAACAATCAGTCCTCAATTTTTGTTTTAAACATTTTTTTAAATTACAATTCGCTGAGCGATTAGCGAGCTTAAAAAGAAAGAGTTATTTTTCCTCAATATACAATCTAATTGTATTAAAAGTAAAATCTATAAGAAAAACGAGAGTTTTACTTTTGCAGTGCTAAACAGAGCTTACTACATCATACACAAAGTTGCTTTGCTTAATTTAATGTGTAACGTGTCTTAGTGAGTTCGTGTTGTATTAGTTTATGTAAATAGTGTAGTATACGAACAGTGTCGGTGACGGTAGTGACGGTGGTAGTGACGACTGTTTTGATCAGCGAGTAGATGAACACGAACGGCGCCGCCGCCACCGCCGCAGTCCGAGACGCCAGGCTCGCTGCAATAATAAATTAAATTATTAATTATTTCTTACTGGATTAGGAAAACAGTTATTCTACGGACTTATGAAGGTGTAAATAAACTCACAGTATACAGACAGTTATATTTCAATTGCACAAGCGATCTTTGTGAATGCGATGCAATTATTACATATTCTGGAGGAGTTTGGAAGTGACTTGATCGCAAATTATTAATAAGTATAACAAGAGGCTCATACTTAGTAGCAGCGCAACAGTCGCCGCGACTCCGGTCGCGGAATGAATATGAGCCTCTAGCATGGCATGAAACTAGTCGAGTTCCCCGCCAAATAATTATGCGAGTATGCCAAAAAACGTTAATTTTAATTCTACCTTGCGCAGGTCTCCGATCAGTGTAAGGGTATCGGTGCGAGGGTCCCACTATCTTCCGGTACGTGTTGCGAGTGGTGCTGGTGATGGTGGTGACGATGGAGACCAGCAGGCGAGTGATCCACCAGCGCTGCTCCGCTGTGTGGGCGCCGCCGTTGCGGTGGGGATATGAGGTCTCGTCGTCTGAGCTGTCTATTGCCTAATGAAGGAGACATGAATTATATAATAACATGATGTTTTTTAGAAAAAAAAAAAGATTTACTTTTACAGGCTAGAACAAACACTTAAATCTACAACTTATACACATCACTTATTACCCAAAAAATCGTCTGGTATGCCTGAAGCATTATATCCACTTGCAAAATATGTTTATGCAGAATATTGGTGTATTCGAAAATCAGTCCACTAGTGAGTTTATTGACCTCATACTGAAAGAAAGGCGCGTAAGGCTACTACATATTGTAACATGTAAGAATATATGCATAAAATAAATAAGAACGTACCGTATACCGACGCCGCACAGTGCTAGTGGTCCAAGAAGTGGTAGCGGAGAGACGGTCGATCTCATCCACGCTGACGTTGGGCCCTTGGACGCGGAACTGTGACAGCGAGCGCCGCGACATGTTCGGCATCGCGACCTGACCTGGCGCGAGCTCCACCCGGTCTTTTGATAGCGGGGAGTATGTGTAGTCCGTCTTAGGGTATTTACTGGAAAGAGGAAATTATTCTTAATAAAATAATAATATGTTGAGGTTAATTAATATTAATGTCATGATCAGATAATATAGATAGTACATAATAATCGCCACATTGATCAATCAGATTCTTTATCAGATTTTTTATTGCAAAATTTTCAATAGATTAAATAATAGTTGAGTAGCTGCAATAGGCTCACCCCCTATTACATGGGACTCATAACATAAATAGTGAAAAGTGGGTGTTACATTGTACAGTGGCATTAAGTGCCGAAATGTGCACCTCTGCCTACCCCTTCGGGGATAAAAAGTGATGTTATGTTATGTTGAGTAGCTGCCTCTTATTGGCTATATCTCGGAAGTGGCTTAGGCGTTATGTTATAAAAATATTCATTTAACTATTTGACGTTGCCTATATTTACAATTCGAAGGTACTCATTACCTCTACTAATTACGACACATAATTAAAACTCAGTACATACAATGAGACTTTTTTCACAAATACATAAGACAAGTAATCACTATGTCATTGCCTCGCAGTTAGTTGATTAATCAAAACATATTTTTTGTGTTATCTAAACACTTGACATACTGATACAATGATCAATGAGTACAGGAAGTAATTCAGAACCTGTTTTTACTTGTACAATGTACATACATCAAAGTACCACTTTTTAAGAAATGTCTTTAACTTAGGGCTTTATTACAAAAACAGTTAAGTTGAAAATGTATTAAAATGGTAAATACGACTTCAAAATTGCCTTAGCCTTTCAGTAATCGGGCGATAAACCTGTAACTTTTGTTAAGGATTTTTTTTAAGGGGGAAAAACATCGAATGACTTCACCCGCCTGCGTGAGGCGGGAGGGAGTGTCAGACTCTTACTGACTAAAAACCACCCCGTTCCTTCTCCTGCACTTCGAGTCGGAGTCCCGGTAACCCGTTAGGTTCTCCGCGACAACTTTTGTTAAGGATAGAACTGAAATTACCTTTTATTTTAATAGGGACTGCTATTTCGTGATAATAAACTCTTCACTGCTATAAATAACGTCAGATATCACAATTCTTACCGTTTTGTTAAAGTTAGATAGCCTATAACCTTCAAGAATAACGCTAATAAATGCACAAGATTGTTCAACTAATTTTAAATCACTGAACAACTGATTTACATTTCACTACACCTATTGAAATAATACAAAACCTTCTAGTAATTATACACTACAACAAAATCTGAGTAGGTACCAGAATTAGTAAGTAGGTTAGAAAAAATGCACTTGCTAGATTTGCTGACTAAACTGTCTAATATCACTAATACAATAAGACGTATATTCATTTTAAGATTTAAATTAAAGCATACTTGAACAAGTTCTCTTAATATAAGTATTCATAATGCAAACTAAATACCTGGATATTTCAGCGAATCTCAGTCCTTCATACATGATTGACAATCAACCAAATGTAATCATACACTTACTACATGACACTATACAAAATCACTTATTTAAAAACTCCTTTTATCTTGAAAAATGTATGCAAAATGCATTTATTATCACAGTCCTGAGTGTACTGGCAACTTGGCATCGTTTGGCATTTGAGCGCCACTCGCGATGCAAATATAGAACATAATAATATCTAATTTTATTGTCGCCGTCCTACCGAGTACCAACTATGAGTAGCAGGACACGTCACTAAGGACTGTTTATATTATGATAGTCGTCTTATGTGTATTTAGTGAATTCTAATTATATACGTGGGAGTGAATAATTGTGTACTTTTGTTTAAGGTGGTCTACATAAGGGTGTTTTAAAACAAAACGGCGTGGTGATAATCAAAAACTTTGAGAATTATGATATCAGACCGAGGCTTTACAAATTAGTGTGACATGTCTAGTCTAGAGCTTTGTGTTTAGAATAGTTAATCTCTAACTCCTATTTTTAGATACATAATATTGCTATTATTGGGTATGCTGAAATCATATCGTAAACGTAATACTAATAAACTGATAAACAGTTTCATAATTTATGATGTAGGCTCATTTCGTATGAGATACGACCTACCTTAACGTCAACACCTCCTCCACCGTTTTAGTCTCCATTTCCATAAAAGTAGTCACTACGTTAGCCATTATAACAAACAACAATAATTTAAAACTACAACTAAACGATACACAATAAATTAGTCAAAAACATTAAAAACTTTTACAAAAATCATTTCGTCCAGCCAGCTGCTATTAAAACGAGCATGTTTCTGACAGTTGACGGTTCTAAATTCGAATTATTATTTTTTATCATACCGCCATTAAAAAAATGAGATGACGTCATCGTCGCGTTCCAGATTGTCTGCGTTTAATTAACGTAGTGTTAGAAGTATGGTGATGACAAATTCATATTGCTGTGGCGGTTACAAAGATTGGCTATTAACTCACAATTCACTCGAAGCAATTTAATTATTGAATGCATTCATTGTATGATGTATTTAGAGGACTATGCGTCATTTGAATTAATTATTTATATCAATGCAGTAAAGTTTATTACTGCATTTATTTTAAGGTAATAAATACTACAAACCGACTTTAAAATACTTTAAATAATATTTGTAAAGTTGGTAAGACAAATTGTTTTGTGTAAATGTAGCTTTATATTACTTCATTGATCTGTAAGATTATGAAAAGTTAATAAATCGATTGCAATTGTTTCTTATCTATTTGTTCATACATACATAATGCACTCGTGGATTTAATACAAGGACATTATAATGAAAGCGAATACTATCACTGATTACCTACTTATCTATATACTATGTAATACATATTGAACAAGGGAAATAGTTGACTGTTTGTATTCAATAGGTTCGGAAACTACTGAACCAAATTGAAAGTTTTTTTCATTATAGGAAAAGTTAATTTTTAGAGTACCACAGACTACTTCTTATCCTGATATTCCTTTAGGATTTGAACTTAAACTGTCAAACACCGCTAGGACACCGGTGACCGCAACCTATTGTTCTTTAATTGTGTCTATAATGACGGTACTCAAAAGGTTATACTATTCAATCAAAATATATGTTCCGAATTCCACGCGGCTGAAGACGCAGGCGCATAGCTATTGTTCCATAGTATCATATAAACACACAATTAGTTAGGTCAACCATGTGCACATGTATATTATTTTATAAAAAGTTTTCCGAGTAGTGTTAGAATTCAATCTAAGTTTAGCAGGCACTTAAATAACATTTCAGAGCAACGCGAAGCTTTTTGCTGGAGCTACGAACGTAATTACGTATGTATCTTTTTTATAATTAGTCGCTAAATGGTATAAAGGTAGACTTGAGAGAGAATGCCTAAAGCATTATGTGTTGTGTATGTACGTTTTGTGCATGTAGCATTAAAATCTTATACTATTATATAAAGCAGAATAGTTTGTTTTTTTTTTGTTTGTTTGAACGCGCTAATCTCCGTAACTACAAGTCTGATCTGAATAATTATTTTTGTGTTGGATAGCACATTTATCGAGGATAGCTATAGGCTATAAAACATCACGCTACGACCAATAGGAGCTGAGCAGAGCGTGTGAAACCGCGCGTAAGTAGCTAGTTTTGAAATAAATGTATGTGGCTGGCAAATGTAACTCAATCTTTTACTGTTTGTATTTATCGTATTTTCATTAAGTACGTTAACTTCTTTAGTTAGCGGAAGTTATGAATAAATTATTATGAGATTTGTTGTTGATGTATGAATGTTGTAACTGTAGTGGGGTTTCTAATTTAATTAATTGTTTTAATACGTTTTGTTCCTAAGAGTCAGATAAGCTAAGAGTTCGCAAATATTACGGTTGACAAGAATGACTGCTTGTCGTCAGCAGAGTTGGCCAAATGTGCTTTGGCCAACTCAACATTAAATACAGGATGTTATTGAATAAACTGACTTTCAAACGTGCTTAAACAAAATCCAGTCTTTTCATACAAATTGACGCAACTTGTAAGTTAATTCGTATAAAAACTTCGATGATTTTTTTATGAACCTCAAAATTTTTTTCAATTTTACTGTATCAAGCACTTGCAAAGCGTTTATTCAATAACATTTTTATAGGCACAAATATTACTCACTTCCAGTACTCTCGTGCCATCTTGTAGAGCCGTGAAGGCAGGTGGTCGTTATTGGGATTCAGTTCCAGCAGTAAGCTGGCATCAGCAAGCGCCTGCTCAGCGAACGAGCTATCCGTCGAACATGCACTGTACGAACTCGGACTGCCTATACGAGATGATCTGCAAATATAACCGTTTTTTCATTAGTATTAAAATTCAATTATGATTGACATTGTGGGTGTCAAGGCTATTTCAATCTAATGCACGTACAAATAGGATCGCTTTTCGCGAAACTGGTAAAGAAGAATATCCCTACAATTGAATCCTAATAATATTTGGTAAAACAATATAATCAGCACTTAGCTTAGACATACAACTATAGCTGTCAATGAAATTGCAAAACAAATAGACCGAAAGCACTCGAATTTATAACTGATGACATTGAGAGGAATTTTTGTATTATAATCAATTCTGCGTCTGCCAGTCTATCGAACATATATTTAAAACCAGATTGAGAATGTCACTTTTGTAGTCTTGTATTTGATTTGGCATGAATAGTGAATAGACTAGACTTGTTGTTGTATTGAGCCAAGAGCGTGTCGTTACGATATTCTATTGAACTATGTCTACTAGAAAGAGTTGTATTACAACATCGTAACAGAATGACAGCGATTTTAAAGCGTTTTAAAATGTAAACTAGACAAATGTAAATCAATGTCGAAAGTTAAGGGTTCTGTATCACGATAGGCAAATAAAGTATAGACACTCTAAGTCCAATAGGAAAAAATACTATAAGTAGAGCGTTCAGCATTTATCGTAATAGGTATCACACACATTTTTATAAATTTCGTAGATGTTTTAGAGGATACAATGTGTTTTAAATGGAAACGGGCGAGAGACACAATTGCAGGGTATTATTTTTTAGATTAAGGCCTATAAGATTTCTTGCTATTTCTGTGGCATGAAAAATTGACATTAAATAAGTTCAGCAATGTGTATTAAAAGATTTGAAAGCACAGTGTAAGGGCTAAGGTTCAACATCGACATATAAAGTAGACATTCAGCGGCCAGATGTGGCGATGACCTTTACTAGGAATCTAGAACAGTGCCCACTACCGCGTGTTTGTTTTAGTCGTTATTTAGTTTCCATAGCTGTGCTCTTTGCACTTTTGCCTTATTTTGTTCTGCTTTCTAATTCATACATAACATAACATCACGCCTTTTATCCCCGAAGAGGTAGGCAGAGGTGCACATTATGCCACTGTACAATGTAACACCCACTTTTCACTATTTATGTTATGAGTCCCATGTAATAGGGGGTGAGCCTATTGCCATATACTGGGCACATTTCCAGACTCCGTGCTACTACTGAGATTTTAAAAACCCAGTAATACTTTGCCCGACCCGGTAATCGAACCCGAGACCCCTTGCCCGGCAGTCACACTTGCGACCACTCGGCCAACGAGGCAGTCTTTCTAATTCATTTGTTTTATTTTTGTAGCTTGCTATCATGTAGGAATGTTTATTGTCAGTAGATGAATAAATACAAGGTGCATAATATGTAGGTACTTCATATATTTTAGGTGAATTAACACTAATATAAGAAAAATAAACTACATAACAATATTCAGTTCTCCTGTTCTACGACCATTTTTAACATCTTATTTATTTATTGCTTTTAGAATATTTTTAGATAAATATAATTTTATTTACTTTTGAACATTTGAAAAACTTTAAAAAATTCACCAATAACGAAGCTTCACGAAGTCCAATGGACAAAATAATATAATTTTATTAGTACGTGTATCTAATAACGTGCAGGCTATTACAAGTTACGTCAGTAGACGTAAATTAGCGTGGCATATAAAAATGTTGGGCCAATGCCAACTGTACCAATAGTAACGTTCACCCAATATTATTGTTTGACAGGCCCATTGATAGCTGTAAATCTTCAGTAACTATAAATATGAAGCATACAGACAGGGTTCATGGATCAAGTGTTCATAGCTTCATGGATAAAAAGTAATTCCAGTCTATAATCGCTGTGTCAAGTTTAATCCAAATCCATACAGAAATTTTTGCGTGAAGGAGTCACAAACATTGCATTCTTAAATTAAAAACTTTTGAATTTGTAATATTATTAGGATTTTAATATTATAAGATTATAGTATAACTTTAAAAACAACATGTTTTTGTTCTTAGCCGGAAATAAACAAAATTACATTTATTAGTGCCTTTACATTTTGTATAATTAACAAAGATCTTTTGAAGGAATGTGCTAATTCCATATGACGTCATAATAGCAGTTTAATGAGACGATGACGACATTAACGTTTTAGTTAAATAAAATAGGATCTTATTCATCACAAGATTTAGAAGTCTTTATTGCTGTGATAATGAAATATTAGGAATCTCTTTACGTGTGTTTCTATTTATGTGATGTATTTTTATTTCTATACATAATTCATATTCGATGGTAGTAACTCGTGCGTGGCATAAATCTTATGCGGATCATTACTTTTATACGTGTACGCACTTGCGTGTAACCAAATACATTTTATGTCATAGAACTCTTTAAGCCTTTGACTGCCGACAGAAAACTGCTGAAGGCAAATCCTCCGCTAAAGTAGGTCACCGGTGACCTATGCGGCGGTTAACGTGTTAATGTTTACATTTAGTACAATTGAATTTTCAAAATTACTAAATTTTTTCGTGTAAGATTTCATGAGATTTGTAATATACGGTAAAGAATTCAAACATTTCAGGAGAAACCATCTCCACATTTAAAAGTCGCTTAAAATATTAGAAAATATATCAAATGCGAGATGGTTACATCATTCAAAGACGTTGAAGTCACACTTTTCAGGCTTCAAACTTCCAATGACGTCAAATTACAGAGTTCAACTGCCTGAACTTATTATATCAATATGGCTTCTCACTTATAAAGCGACATAAAGGCCTTTTAAAGGGCGGTTCATATTTTTATGATGAAGGGACAATATTTACTCTGTGACATACCACACAGTGTGCTTACCCCCAAGTGGTTTGATGTTTACCATCATCCGTTTGTTTTGGCAGATAAGATTTAAAAATATGGGAGTTGTTTTCCTTTTAGTAACTACCCGAGACTTTATAGTTTAGGAAAGTTTAGCCTCGTAACTTTACAAATCTTAATTTAAACAGATATTTGTAAAACTGATAACCTATTTATTTGACATGACGTGTCAGGGAGTGAACATGAGAATACGAGCAGTAAGCATCTTAACGATCGCCTACCTTCACCGATAGACAGACAGACAATACAATTTTTGACGTTTCAAAAGAGCATAAATAAGGATTAATTGAAATAACTTCTTTGACTTTGCATTGTGAAAATATTATCTAGACTATACAATGCGAAATTTTTAGAGAAAAACAAACTTTATGTTATTTAGTTTCAAGGTCTAAATTAAGTAGGGAGAAAAGGGAGAGTGTCTAATTTTCTTTTTTTTATTTAAACATTGCTATATTTATACTGACGTACCTAAGTTCGTATCTTCTACTACCCATCTTATGCAAATGCACGTACCATTGGAAACTAACAACAATCATGAATGCAAATTGATGCTAAAATGATTACCGATATTTTTCAAAGAATGCTATTTGCATAAACGTAAGCATTGAATATTGAAATGCATTGAAAAGTGTGAAATATGTGACCTTGTCGTTCATTATGCAGTTTACACGTGAAACTAATACTGATAGATAGGGTGGGTGATATTGAGAGGAATGTTAACATGAAAATAAGGTCAAATATCGAGGATGAAACCAGGTATATGGGAGGATTTCATACTTTTTTTTATGGAATAAGCCGATAAACGAGCAGACGGATCACCTGATGGTAAGCACTTGGCGTCGCCCATGGTCACCCGGAAAACCAGGGGCATTACAAGTAAGTACGTTATCGGCCTTTTGGGGATTAAAAGTTTGACGATTGTTGGGGATTCAGGTCATTCAGGAATTGCTCCCTAATTCCAATTCCAATTGGGGCTCCAGTAACCTCACTCACACAACGAAACAACGTAAGCGTTGCTTCACGTCGGTTTTCTGTAAGGCCGTGGTTTCACTCCGGTAGAGACGGCCCATTCGTGCCGAAGCATGAAGTGTGGGAGATGGCTCTCCCACACTTAATTAGTCAACGGGTGCTTTGGATTATAAATACCGTGATAAAACTAATAATAAGAGTGAAGCGAACTTAAAAATACTGGAAATTATAGAATGATAAATACTACGATGTCTTAGTCTCACATATGTAATGGGGCCTTCGAGAACAATGTCTTAATTCCGATTTAAGGTATGTACCTATCAATGTTTGAATTTTCAGTGGCTTCTAAAAAATCCACAACAAAGAAGCAGTAAATAAGACCTGACATTAAGTTTTGACACTGTTTTTTTTTCAGTAGTTTTACAACTTTATTACAGAACAAGAAGGTTTAAAATCCTAATCCTGGCAAAAGTGGGGTATAATGACAATTTTTCTCTTAAGAAGAGAGAAGACCTTTGATCAATTAAAGTTAAAAAAGGTTGACAGTTGAGTAGCTTGAAGTGCTGGTTTTTTCAGCAATATTTCAGTAGGTACCATGAACGTGAACTTACCGGTCATGAGTCACGCCGTGTGACGTGTAGATGGGGCTCAACGTGACGTCAGACAGCGACGTGTAACGCTGCGAGCTCGTCGACACACGCTCATACTGACTGTTGATCTCGTTCTGCGGACAAATCCAGATATTATATAGCTGTTCATTTTGTGGGATGGTAAAAATTATTGGTAGTGGTCTTATTTGATGATGATTAGGTCGATTATTGAGTGAAAGGTAATTAAGATAGTTACCATGTTTTCAAAGATAAAACACGGTTTGACTCGTTTTGTCCAAGTGCAAAAGAATGAAATGCTATTTTCTTCAGAATTACGGATACAACACTAATACAGAAACATAACATCACGCCTTTTTATCCCCGTAGGGGTAGGTGGTGCACATTTCGGCACTTAATGCCACTATACAATGTTACACCCACTTTTCACTATTTATGTTATGAGTACCATGTAATAGGGGGAGAGCCTATTGCCATATGGCAATAGGCTACACACGGCCTCATTGGCCGTGTGGTCGCAACGTACAGAAACGTCATTTTTTTATTTATAGGTGTTATTTCTTAGTGGTAAAATAATATATTGTTACTTCTTGTGGCTGATATGAGGATGAAATAAATATTAAGTTATTTGTCTGTTTATTATCTAGAATACCTATTGAATCTATTATTTTATGGAGTCTTCTATTAAAGCTAATCTGATAATAAAATAAACCTGTCGTTATTATAATATTAATTTCAATTTATATGATAATAGAATAGAAATAGTCTAAACTAATGGCGAAACAAACTTGTTTGTTCCATATAATAATCATTTTTCGATTTTTGTACAACTTTTCTCCTCATAAAATCCTCCTTGGACATCAAATAAAAAAAAACATTTTTTTAAAACAATAAGCTGGATTAAGTCAGCATGTCCCGGTCCATTTTTATTGTTGGTCATCGAACATCATCCCAAAAACTCAAAACCCCTTCATTGTTTGGACCATCCAAAAATACTGTAGTTATAGTAATGAATGTCCATCTTATTAATACTATCCGGTGCCATACAAGGCGTTAACTGTTATGGCGCGTGACATTTCCTTTTATGCGCTCTGGCTGTGCGCCTGCGCAGTGCGTCTGGTTCCTGTATCAATTATGTGGCGAGTGTGCACCTGCCTTATGTCGTGAAGCTGTAATTTGTTTGGGGCTTTACAAAACATATTACTTTAATTCACATTTGTCTCAAGGAGAGAAATTATAGACCGCCACCTACTATGATCCTTTAGCTTCCATCACATGAACTTAAAAATCTTATCTTGATCTTATCGTACATTCTATGCCTCTTGGCGTACAAGCATACCAGTTAAGAGTAATCTGTCTCAGGTCTTACACAATTCATAATTCATATTCAGAACATCTACACTTGCGAATCTGAATGTTAGTAAATTATCAAGATTCCATTTTCAAAGAAAATGTTTGTTTCATTTCATTCTTATTAACGTCAGAATGATTACATAGTTTCCGTATCTACAGCTACACATTTTAATGATTACATTGAATTGAAATTAATAACTGCCACGTTGGCCAAATGGGACTGCCGGGCAAGGGGTCTCGGGTTCGACTCCCGGGTCGGGCTAAGTATTTAAAAAAGGTTTTAAAAAAGTATCGGTATTAGCACGGAGTCTTCAAATGTGCCCGGTATATGGCAATAGGCTAACCCTCTATTGCATGGGACTCATAAATAGTGTAAAGTGGGTGTTACATTGTACAGTGGCATTAAGTGCCGTAATATGCTCCTCTGCCTATGCCTTCGGGGATAATAGGCGTAATGTTATGTTATGTTGAAATTAATAAATTTTGTATTAAATCAAGGATTTAATAGAAAGGAACAGTAATTGTACAAAGGTACCAGTATTACAAAGGTTTAGCAATATTTTAAAGCAGATATATCGCAGTACTTCAAAGGTTTCATTACTAAACTAACAAATTCTAGAAAACCTAGAAGTAATAACTGTAATAATTTATCAAGTGGCAATCAAAAATAAACGGTAAATACCATTTTTAAAGTTTGTTCCATTAACGAATTAAGGGGCTTTCAAATAACAAGTGAGTAGGTAATTTAAAAGCCCGTTATTAATTAAATATCTTGTCTAACCAATCCTTATTGCCTTCCCGATTACTCCCCAAAAATTTACTGTGAGTATTTCATATCACAGGGTCCTCTTTTAAAACTACCACAAGAAGAATTGACTAAAACATGAGACTACATTAAAAAAAAATAGATTAAAGTTCCAAGTTTAGTTTAGTTAATTGTAGCAAAACTACAATAAAACCTATTTAAGATCCACGTTTAGAGTGTATGCTTCTTTTTATTTGCTTGTTACAAGATATAAAAAATCTCCCTCAGTCATCGTAGTGACATCATAGTTTCAGTAACTTGGACAAAAAGTACACAAGAATTTGTTAGAGGCAATCCAACCGTGGCGCTGTTGATGCAAGCGCGCCATACTATGAATCATGAATCACTAGGACTTTGACATTGAAGAATTGGGCAACTAAACGTGCGGAACTCCAAGAGAAAATAACCGCAGACAAACAATAAACCGGAATACTTGTAGATCGGATTATATATATATCTGATACATATTAACCGATTTGTTACCATGCAAACTACAATGATAACAGAAGGATAATAATATAGGTTTAAGGAAATCAAATGTTTTTACTAACTCATGCCAACAATAATAATAACAAATTCAGGATAAAAGAAAATATTACAGCTAAAGTGATCAGCGTATGTCCACTTTTGATCACTTCCACGTAATTACCGATATCCGCTCACTTCAAAGAGATCAAAGCGAGTGTTGCCCGCGGTTTTCATTGCCCCAAATAGACTTCAAAACGGTTTGGTGACCATATTAGTAAGTGCGGAAATTGACGAATACTATTAGCGGAGGAGTTAGCTATTGCAGTGATAAACATTGAGTGGTATAGCGACTATAAGGAAGTTAGTATCTATTGCCATCATTGTTTATTAATACTAAAGCGAACAGGAAAATCACCTCCATAATACTATTGTTGAGCGTTTCAATGCCTTCTGATGCAACGAATTTCAAGTTCAAAATGTTCAACCGACTCCCATAAATATTCCGGACAGGTGAATAGCGCGCAGGTGAGAGAGTACACAGACAACGCAGTAAATTGGTTTCAAGTATTGATTTCGACTGGTCACTGGAAGACGATGCACATGCGCTGTAAAACGCTTATTATTCAATATACTTGTAAAAAGTACACGTATATTGAACAAAACAATATAAAAAATTGTCCTAGTGGCGAATAGACGCACTAAAGTGACTTCGCTGTCTTACCAACCTAACAACATCTCAACCGACCACTAGCGCCATAACATCGTACAAAACGGTTCAGGCGGTAAAAAGTTGAACTACAAAATAATAACGCTACTGCCCACCAGAGGGCGATTGGTAGTTATTAGGGATACCAGTTTATAAAATATTTTTCCTGATAATAGTAAATAAATAGGAAAAAAAAAATCTTGGACATTGCATTTTATAAGATAAAACAAATTAATACTCTATAGAAATGGATCCCAATACCTCTAATAATAACATTACACAACGAAAACCGTTTAAAGTGAACTCATTGAACGATTTATCTTCGATAATGAATGAAAAGAGTATATTTGACACGACTATGATGAGTATACCAGATAGCTTTAATGACGACAGTGAGACCATGAATACTTTAATTGAACAGAATAAAAAACTTACCATGGAGTTGCTAAGCGCACATCAAGAAATTGAAAATTTAAATTGTGAAAACTTTAGATTAAAAAGCGATCTTCAAGAGATGATAAAGAAATCAAATACATATAAGAAAATATGCTCGACACCTAGCAAAAAATCTAAAACACCAACTCGTAAACAAAAAACATTAAATCTTAACAGTGAAATTAGTATAGACATCTTTGAAAGGGCGGAAAACAAGCACGACAAAGAAACCCAAACAACTGAAACTTGTAGTGAAGTACAGAATATTTTAATATCAGAATACCCACATATGTCTACATCAGTTAATGACCTAAACAGTAACACAAATGAACAAAATAAAAGCATTTCCATGAATACAAAAGTAAGAAATAAACTGTGTATTCTAAGTAACGAAAAAATCAGCGGTTCTTTATCTGTAATTGAAGATGTGTTTTCCAACCATTTTGATTTCTGTCATTATGTAATGCCTAATTGTAGTTTTAAACGACTAGCAAGTGATATAGATCAGAAACTAAAGGGATATACGATTAAAGACTATTGCCTTCTCTTCATAGGACAGTATGATGTTAGAAATGAGAGTGAACACATTAACGTCATCAGTGCGTTAAAGGAGTCACTTAAGAGAATTAAACACACCAATGTAGTTATATGTGCCCCTACGTACATCAAAGGGGCTCCCATATACAACTTTAAGGCAGAAACGTTTGGTAAATTACTTTATCTTGACCTAAAAAACAATGACTACGCGTATCTGTTTGACACTAATTATGATCTGACTCTTGAAATGTTCTCCAACACAACTGGAATAATTAACAAAAGTGGACTAAGGAATATATATAATCGAGTAATGGATAACATATTAATTGATTTGAATTTATTGGACAAAAACTGCATTGGGCAAACTAATGATAACATAAAACACATAGTCACAGACTCCTACCAGCAAACAACCAACAGCAATGAATCCTCGGACTTTTTTCGTCTGCAATAGCATTTATATTCTGCATCAAAACATCGCTGGTCTCTTGAACAAATCTGATGCATTAACCATATGTTTAGATAAACTTACTGAGAAAAATATACAAGTAGAAATAATATGCATCACTGAGCACTTTATTATGGACGGCTACGAAAACCACTTAGTAATTCCAAACTACACACTAGCAGCGATCTATGGTAGGGGCCACTGCAAACGTGGAGGTGCCTGCATTCTCGTAAAAAATGGGACTCAGTGGAAGGAGTTACCAGAAATAAAAAGTCTGTCAATTTCAGGTCTGTACGAGTGTTGCTCAATAGAACTTATAAGTTATGATATAGTTATTGTATGTGTTTACAGGGTGCCCAAACCA